CCCATCGTATATTTTAAACATAAAATGTTACAAAAGATTTTAATGTAAAATAAAAACTCCACAAGAAAATGCCTCAGTTTCCAAAAAAATGTTAACCCCAACCATGACAATAATAAGAAATATTTCTTGAACACCAAATAAAATATTAGAATGAATTCTGAAAAGTACATAAAAAAAATCAATCAATCCTTTCTCTCTCGCTATATATTCATATATGAACAGTTATTTTAAATTCTAATCATATTTCACAATATTATTCACAATAATACTGTAAAAGAAATTCCCCAAAATCTTACCAACCCCAAACGTTTGAACAGTAGTCATGTTATGAGTAAATTGATATCATATAATATCAAAATATAGATATTTAAAAATATTTTATATCGTACAAAACCATGTTGTAATTCATCAATATAGTCAACGTAACTAATATGAAATAATAAATGTAATAAAACAAAAGGTTTTGAGTCATTAATTTCATTATTTTTTTTAAAGATCATTCATATCAGAATTATAGCAAGATGTATCAATAAGTAATAGTTTTTATTGTAAAAGCATCAATTTTCCAAGCCTTTAATTGGCATGCAAACCCACTGTAAAACAACATGGTTGTCTTACATTGTAGTCAGTCCACTCGTGTATGTAGATTATGAGCTTCACCACACATCAGATGCTATGACACAAATGCTAGGATGCTCTATAACTTATAGGCCATTCTAGGGCATTCAACATTTTGAACTGAAAGGGCCAAATGATTCTACTGGCCCCAATCAGGGTCTTCTGGTTAGACGTACAGCAGGTATCTCCATTTGATTGATGAGATTCATGATAAGATTGTGCAGCAAACACTAAATCTGTGAGGTAAACAGCAGAACAATGGAAGGCCACACAGATGCTGTGGTCACAGCTGTCCTCAGGAGTGTGCAGACGATCAGCACCTCTGGGACACCCTGGATCAAAGCACCTGGAGACGTGACCCAGGAACTCCATCAGGCTCTGCAGCAGGACTGGGTTAACATCCCGTCACTGGCTGCTTCACAAGCTCTTTGTGTACTAGATGTGTCAAGTAGGGACATTTACCATTTACAAACAAAACACGTCTTTTATCTTGGAGCTATAGGATTGATCACGCTACATACAACATCTGGATTTGTTTACAGGTTATAAGATGCCTGCACCATAATTACCCCATTCCACTGAGCAAAGGGAAAATACAGTAACTTCACATTTGGTAATTTTAGTTATGATCTGTCCTGTGATAAGACAGCTGTGAGAAAACAGATATCAACTCTTTTATATGTCCTGTAACTGGTGACAGTTTTTTTTTTTCCATTTCTAAACACCTTTTTGCCTTCATTAGGATTTTGTTTTTTATAACTTTGCAAAGTTGTAAGATTATTGGAGTAGGCTTTAAAAAAAAAAAAGTATTTTTACTTCAGAATTTCACATTTAATGTTACTTGTCATTTCTTTTCCCCGTGAAATTTACTTGCAATTTATGAGTGAAAATTGTTTCAAAGTAAATCCTACATCAAATTGTTTTCAATGTTTTTAATTAATGACACTACAAAAAATTGCATGTTAAAGGGATACTCCACCCCAAAATGAAAATTTTGGCATTAATCACTTACCTCCATGTCGTTCCAAACCCCTAAAAGCTTTGTTCGTCTTCAGAACACAATTTAAGATATTTTGGATGAAACCAGGAGGCTTGTGACTGTCCCATTTAATGCCAAGTAAATTACACTGTCAAGGTCCAGAAAAGAATAAAAGACATCGTCAGAATAGTCCATCTGCCATCAGTGGTTCAACCGTAACGTTATGAAGTGACGAGAATACTTTTTGTACGTGAAGAAAACAAAAATAACGACTTTATTCAACAATTCGTCTCCTCTGTGTCTCTCCGCATCACTGTAGCGCCATTTTGGAGAATAACCACTGAACGCAAGCAGCGTACGCTATTCTGTGTCAGCCGCGCTGCACGGATGCGCTGTTTTCGTTCAAATCGTAAATACACGTAGAAAACGTATCCTTGTGTCACGGCTGACACAGAAGAGTGTACTCTGCTTGCGTCCAGCGGATATTCTCCAAAATGGCGCTACAGTGATGCGGAGAGACGAATTGTTGAATAAAGTCATTATTTTTGTTTTCTTCGCGTACAAAAAGTATTCTCTTCGCTTCATAACGTTACGGTTGAACCACTGATGGCAGATGGACTATTCTGACGATGTCTTTCATTCTTTTCTGGACCTTGACAGTGTAATTTACTTGGCAGTCAATGGGACAGTCACAAGCCTCCCGGTTTTCATCCAAAATATCTTAAATTGTGTTCCGAAGATGAACGAAGCTTTTACGGGTTTAGAACGAAATGGGGGTAAGTGATTAATGACAAAATTTTCATTTTGGGGTGGAGTATCCCTTTGAGTAACTATAAAAGAATCAGAAAAAATACTGTTTAAATTACTTCAAAAACGGTTAAAATGACATCTAATACTACCCAAATATATTGTTTTTTATACTGATGTTGGTTGAGCATAATTTCTAATCTCTATTATATCAGGATTCTGTACACAGTACCTGTTCTGGAATATTCGTGTAGGGACAGATGTTAAAATGAGTGATGAGTGTTGATGAAATAAGGATGTACAGTAACGGACCCGGTACAGGATGCTTTACAAGTTTTTGTACCTGAAGACATAGAGATCCTGCTTTTGGATGTGAGGAAGTGTGAGCAGGGAGGAATCGTGAAGCCATCTGGCCTGAATGATCATCTGTACAAGGTTGCAAATGCTCAGCGCAGACACGAGCCATCCTTCATTCGCCACCACATCCAGCATAGCCTGCAGAGAGAACAACATCAACACAGTCACTACGCTTTAACATTTGGGGTTAATAGTTTTTTTGTTGTTGAAATAACAGAAATGGATAATTTTATTCAGCAAGAACATATTAATTTGATCAAAAGTAATATTTAAGATGTTATAAAATATTTCTATTTCAAATAAATTCTATTCTTTTGACCTTTCTATTCATCAAACACCACTGAAAAAAAATGTGTCATGGTTTCCACAAAAATAATAAGCAGCACAACTGTTGTCAACATTGATAGTAATAAGAAATGTTACAATATTTCACAATAATTGTATTTTTGATCAAATAAATGCAGCGTTGGTGGTCTTACCCACCCCACAAACTAAATATTACACAGTATAAAATAGAATCATGGCATTTGATAGTATCTTAATGCAAATATATTCCTACCTTTAGATAAACTATGTGATGCTGATATTGAATATAAACAATCAGACCACTAGGAATATCAATGAGTACTATTGGTATATCTTTATTTATATGTCAGCCCGTCTTCTAGATTTCCACACTCTCTCTGTGGTTCTGTCAGTCTCTCCTCCTCTATCTAAGGTTAAAGTTTGCTGAGCTCAGCTGCGCTAACACACTTAATTAATCAAAAAGTCATTTCCTCTGTAACTATGAGTAAAAAGCACCTGAAGAGCACCGGAAAGCCCTGCAAGTTAATCAAAATGCTAATGCAGTACAAATTAAAGTTGTGATTAACATTTCAAAGTAGCTGCTTGAGTAAATTGAGGACAGCAACAGGATGATGGGACAAACCTTTCCGTGAGGAAAGAAAGAGACAGACAGGCATTCAAAAATAATAGTAATTTTTCTTTAAAAAATAAATCAAATAAAGCTCAGAGGACTGACAATAAACAGAACGGGTTACTAGTCATCCAATGACTGTTTAGCAGGTTAAAGAAGTTTTAAATGATTTATTGAACGGTTTAAATGAAGTTAAAGAATTCATTTGTACATCAAGCTGTATTAGCGCTGAATAACTCATATAAAAATTAAATGTCCTTTTTTTTTATGTATGTGTGTGAAAGCTCTGCATTCTGTGTCGTTTATGTGATAAAGTATTGTAACCTTGAGTGAACCTGCTGTAACGTAAGACAAATTTCAGACTCAGTCTGACAATAAAGTGTATCGTATCGTAGGTAACTAGACTAGACTATCGTTTATATAGATTTTATTTATTTATTTTTTAATTATTGAAGACAGCGTGTTAACTAAATTGTTACAAGGTAATTTAAGGTCATTTTATTTACTGATATTACTAATTAGTGTCACAATTATAATTAATAAATGGCTATAAGACAACAACAACAACAAAAACCCTCTTAGAATATATACTGTGAGCAATCTGTCGATCCATTTTTTTTGGTAAGGACTGATGATAGTTTGGACATGACCGTAAACCAGCCTACAAGGCTTCCGCAAGAAACTAGTTGTTGTGAAAATTCATCGACTACTTTGTTTGAAAATCTGAAGTGAATTTACACAATTACTACTCCTTCAATATTTATGTTTCCATCCAAAGTTGCAAATTAAACTTATGTGGAAAACTAGAACATCGCATGACACCTCCCATGTGTTCAACCAGACAAAATCGTCACTTCCTGGGAAACTGGTGAAAAGTATCCATAATGAAATGAAAGTTGATGGACCAGTTATCCAATAGCATGATCTGATTTTTTGTTGCACATCAAGGAATTTATAAGATAAATGGACTTCCATTTTTTTTCTTATTGGATAAAAAAATAAAAATCACCTCAAATGAGCACCTAAGGTTTTTATGTGCATTTTAAGATTTTATGCTTATCGTGATGTTTTCATCCAATGTTTAGTAATGCGATGGAAATGTTGATGGAAACTTAGCTAAAGATGCCTAACATGTCTGTTTGCATTCATACATGTCACATTTAAATTGTAAAACATTTCTAACTTGAACGATTTCTAAAAGTATATAACTTGAAATATTTGAGAATAATTACAAAACCATCAAAAACAAAACAGCAATTTGAATTCTTGATTTTGCACTACCATTTCAAAGTTTAAGTAAATTAATACTTTTATTCATCAAAGATGCATTAAAATGATCAAAAGTGACAGTAAAAAAATTTATGTTACAAAAGATTTATATTTTAATTACATGCTGTTCTAAAGACTGGAGTAATGGTTGCTGAACAGATATTGTAGTTGTAAAAATATTTCCCCATATTACTGATTTTACTGTATCTTTGATCAAATATATGCAGCCTTGGTGAAAGTAAGAGACTTCTTTCAAAAACAACCTTTTGAATGATAGTGTATCTTCCTGTAATAACTCACACTTTGATAGTCTATAATTCATGGCAAATGCAGAGAGAGAGAGAGAGAGAGCAAATAAATATTCAAATGTGATCATCACAGCTGGGCATCATGGGAAGGGTTAATTATCTGACATCACTGCAGGATGAGCTCAGCTGTGTGAGAGACTGACTGCTATGAATGCATGGGGCTGCCAGCAACACTGCCACAGCGGGAACCCAGAAAAGTAACCACATCATGTAGAAGCATAGCCAATCACGCCCAGACACACACACACACATAGAGAATCACAGGCACTCGCTCTGCTCCGCACACATGAGCCGTTGGCAGAGCCGGACCGCCAGCGTGGACAATCTGTCCAGTCTCCGGCCGAAGAAAATCAAGAGTGCGGTCTCAGGCAAAGCCACTTGCAAACAGATCCGAAGGTGTGCCATCAGGCAATCAACATCAGGCTGCTTGGCCGGCTCAGGCAGCGCAGGCTTTTTTATGGCTGCCCTTGAGGCGAGTGTTTTATGACGTTCCAAACAACCTGACAGCAGAATATCCATAAATCATATCCACACTTCAGCCACTCTGTCCTCAGTGTGTTGCACTGTGATTCTGTTTACACGCGTCAGAATAACACAGGATGGCAGAGCACCATTAAGATGCGGTCTCAGAAAAGCAACTTGTTAGCTTTTGCAACACCCACCCACAAACACACCCACACTAACCACAGCAATAATAGAAAAATTAAGGTTGTGAATTCTTCTTTAAAAAAGGACATATATTTTCTAAAGTAAATCTTGTTTTGCTATTATTTCCTGCTCTAACACTGTATTTGCTAAACTGACCTTAACAGAGTAGAGTAGACCTGACAGACCCTGACAGTTTAATATTATAATCAAAGGGTTTAATTTCAGCTTGAATATCATTGCGTGTGACATAATTAAAGCAACAACTGATAATTTACCTCAGATCATGAAAATAAATGAAAGTGTGTTAGAAACACTTTCAGAGCGATTATTAACAGGAAATAAATGATCAAACATTGACAGCCAAAGCTCATCTGACATTAAAGCGTGCTTAGAATAAACAGAAAATTATGGTCCATTGGTGTGGAAACTAATATATTTAATATTATAGTTTCTGTTCTTGGCATGAATAGGCCTTAAGCCTTGAACCAAACCAAACAACTCTGTGAACAAATGACAAAACATTATAGCTTTATTCAGAGAAAAAAAACAACAACATCAACAACTTTATACTCATGCATATCAACACAAAAATCAAAAACATCCCACATGAACTAATGTTAGCTAGCTAACTAGTTAGCTATTGTTAGCTTCCCTAGTCTGCCAAAACTCAAGCCAACACTGCTTGCTGTGAATCTCATTTCCACGTGTCGCCTCTGATTAGTAGATCTCTCTTTAGCATTATGGGTAGTGTAGTTCTTTAACAAGAACACAATTCGCAATTAAGCACATTTTAAAAACTAAGATACATTTTTGGCAAAAATCTAGTTCAGTAGTGAAACAATTAATTTGAGTTTTATTCTAATGTTGCACTATATAAATATAAACAAACAAATAGGCAGTTGACATACAGTATAATGTGTTCATTGACATTTTTTACCAATCAACAAAGATTTCTATAAAGGCTTTATGTTTAGATTTCATGTCATCTATATACTGGATATGCGGGATATACTGCTATTATCAGAACAAAACTAGAACTGCTCCCGAGAATCTGTTCCCGAGTCAATGTAAGTCTGTAGATTTGAAAGAAACAGTAATACATAAACACACTCACACACAGATGAAGATAAACACACACCTGGCAGATGCGGATGGTGTTGTCTAGCACGGTTTTGGTGTCGGTTCCGTAGTCGCTGCAGGGCAGCTGTGCCCGGCTGAAGTGGGCCTGCATAAGCAGGTGTGTTTTGGTGTGCGCGCTGTCGTACGAGTGAGGGTTGACCTGCAGGGGGAGCCGCTGGGCCAGCTCGCTGTTCAGTTGGTCCTCGTTGTGGCGTACGGGGAGCTCGGCGTACTCCTCTGCTTCCTGTAAACACACACAAAGCATCCGCTGAACACCACTCACTCGCTTTTATGTCTACCCGCCAATCCACATCCAGCATATTCTATCAAAGACTGAAAAATGCCATAGACAGATTTAAACTATTACGATATTTTGAATATTGAACGACATCCTGTTGTAAAGGTAATGTCATAAAAACAAAATTAACAACTAGAATAAAGCCTGGTCATATTGCACACAATCCAGAACTGCATGTTATAAAAAATAAAAAATAAAAAAAAATGTAAAAAAAGCAGTTTTTCTATCATCAAAATGTAACAAGTCTCTTCAATGACTTTTCAGTTAGGATGATATCACGTCATCTTTTTCAACCTTCTTCTCCAGCCATCTGTCAAACAGCAACCACTTTTCACTATCCAATCAACTGCCAGTGAATAAAAGTCCAACCCAACCTTTTTTTTCTCAGTGAATATACTCTTTTACTAAGAAATATATTGCATTACTGACCCCCAAATCTCCAATTGTAGAAGATATTTCAATGAGAAACAGGAAGCAATGAGGCATATTCTTCTACCACTACCCGTTACTATTAAACATGTTTAAACCTGAGCTTAGATTTATCTCTCTATGAAGTCTGCACTGTACAGAATATAAAGCGAAAAAAAAAGTGATAAATGTAATTGGAGGCCAAACTGTTCAGTTCAGTTTGACTCCATATCTTTCAGTGACATTTACAGAGAAAGAAACATTACAGTTCTTTGAGCTAAAAAGCCTGTTTGCACTTTCTGTGAATTTCCAGGCTGCCCTACAAAACTTGGCTTAAAAAATCAATAAAAAGAGAGGTGAACCTCTGAAAATGAAATATTATATTCATTGTTTTATTGTAGTTATATAAGTCCCAAGATTGTTATACAATATATTAACATATTTTATATCACATTACAACTTTAAACTGTAAAAACTAGTTTAAACACCTTATTTTAATGTTTTTCTTTTTTAAAAGAAATAAAAAAATACTTTTTTGAAGATTTACTTATAATTTTCATACATTACATAATAATAATAATAATAATAATAATGTTACTTCTTAAATGCCAATATTCAATTCAATTCAATACAATTCAATTCACATTTGTACATTGCTTTTCACGAAACATCAAAACATAACGTTTCAAATTTCATGGAACATTCTAAGTTTTGTAAAAGGGGGGAATTATGCAGCTACAGGGAGGTTGTCAAATCGCAGGATATTTATTTTATGCATTTTTTTTTTAATGCGTGTGTTAATAGCACCATAGACACAGAGACAAAAAAAAAAACTGCAAAGAATTGCATATCAGTTTAACAGTTTATAGCTATGTTGTATTATTTTAATTGCTGAATACAACTGAGAAGGTCAAGACCATTGTGTTGGGATGGGGGAGCTCTTGTAACTGTGAGGGGCGGCCTTGACTTGGTGTCTAATTATGAACCCTTCCACGGTAATTAGAGGACAATAAGGGTGAAAGAGGGGCTGATGGGGGAGGCGTCATGTGGAGGGGTCATTTGTTGCTATTGAACGACTGGTTAGAGTGAAAATGGGGGTCCTGCCCACCTCATGTCATGCTTTTGTTAAGCAACCAGTGTGAGCGTTAGACAGCGAGATGTAATGACTGAGTGGTAAGTGGATAATCAAGCGGGAAACATATAACTGTGAGGATCAGTGATTTATCCCTGCTGCCTCAGGCAACATTACCACATTAACATGTGCTCTTTTCCTATTACTGACACACAAACACGCCGGCATTAAAATTCACAGGCATGACTCAAACCTTCTCTCATCTCTCAGACCTTCTATATTTTGACCAGTTCAGCAGATGAAGCATTTGTGGCGATGTCTTTAACATCAGGAAATCTGAGCTGGCCTCTAGTAGTTTGTTTGCCCAGGTCACACAGCGGTCAGTCACGGTCTCTGATGTCTTCTTTACTTACATATATATATATATATATATATATATATATATATATAAGAAACAAGAAATTGGAAGTTGCAATGGGCTTTTATGAAGAAACACTAAATTAAGCAACATTTTTGAAAGTTTTGAAATTTCAACTTTTAAATTGTGCCAATTTTATTAGTATTTTTTCTGATGTCCTTTAAATATAAAATTTCCAAATGAAATTTTTTTTTTAATATATTTCTTATAAATTTTAGAACTAATTAAATAAATGATTTAATCATGCTAAACAATTTCCACACATCAACAACAGATTTGAGTGGAAACCTTTTTACATTTGTGTATACAATTAAAAAATGTTTTTCTGGGTCAAAGCGACTTAAAATAATGGAACAGGTCACATATTTTTTTTTTCAAATGGCTTGAAAATAAATAACGAAGCTTAATTAACGTTTGGACAAAAATGCTGCTTATTCGACATAAAAAAAATATATATAAAATGCTTCATTTATTTCATTGATTTCAACCATGTCATCAATATTTGGTAACATGTCTAAAATTATAAATTGAATCTGTTATTTTCTATCAATAACCATTAAATAATCATCCAAAGGAAATATATTTTTTTTAATCAAAAACACAACAAAACCAAACAAACAAAAATGACAGAATGGCTAACAGGATTTCAGATCTCGCCTAATTTGGTAATAAAGTAAGATCTGTGCCTTAACTGGTTAAAATAAAAGATATGCGATTTCTTTTATACCACATTCGTGGAATTTCAATTTAAAGCATATTCCCATTACTTTTATATACTGAAGTTGCTCGGTCTCTAATCTCAACTGCTCTATCAGGACTGGTTATAAAAACTGTTCAAGAACATGTTTTAACAATCTTCTTTGAGAGTTTCCATCAGGTCTGCAGCGCCTCTACTATGAGACAGATGTCATGTGGTGAGGACATCAGTGAAGTGTGAAAAGCCTTTATGTCTCAATTATGGCCACGGCACTCTAGAGGGGCGTCACTCTAATGAGGCGAACGTAAAGAGCTGCTAATTTTCACACCAACCCTTAGGGGTGCAATTATGTGTGTGTGTGTGTGTGTGTGAGTGCTCAGCTGTATCCAGCCAAACTGGACTCATGGAATAATCATTAACTGTGTCAGGATGTTGGCCAGTGAAGGTGGTGATGCATTGGTGTTTAAAGTGCACCGTCCCTGAACGCATCAATGACCAGAAGATGAGAGGAAAGAGTGGATCCTTTCAAAATGAATGTTTGCTCACCGACAGGATGGCCAGCAGCTCTTGAATGGGCAGCTCTGGCTTCAGACGCTCTTTGAACATGCGGATGGTCTGGTGTTTCAGGTAATAGTAGGATGAGATGCGGCCGTACGTCAGCGGCTCGATGGTTTGCTCATCCTGAACAAAACAAGACGGTCACTGATTAACAAACCAGAGGTCAAAATACAGCCGTACAGCAGGCAGGTCAAAGATGAAATTCCCTGTCAGTCCTCCAGCAAAAAGACAACTTCTGGAACAACTATTAGCTTCATTCCAAAAATCCAGTGCTCTGCATCACTGTCTACAAAGGCAGCATTCTACATAAAATAAAACACTCTGCAGCAACTCTCTCAACGCTCACTCATGATACTGCAGTAGTAATATCTGAAAATAGCAGTAATAGTGAACAGATTATTATTAATAACTGATATAAGTAAATTATTATTAAAAAAAAAAACATAAAAAACTGGGCAGCACATAAAAATGTAAACGCTAAAATGACTCTACCTCCTGTATTTCCATGCAGTAGGAACATTCCAGATCCCTCAGACTCCTCTCCACCAGGTTTGAAAGGTATCTGTTAATGGTTTCATGGGTGATGTCATCCAAATTATAGTAACTGAGAGCAAAGAGAGAGCAGTTAAAAGTGGAAGAAACACACACACACACACACACACACACACACACACACAAAGTAGAATCCACTTATTATATTGGTTTTCAATATTGTACTGTAAAAAACAAACAAATACTTCTTGAGTACATTTAATCATTGTGAGTATCTTTAATAATGCATATCTAGTGTATCTAAAGATCCTTAAAACAAGCTAACAGCAAAATGTATGAAAGTATCTTGGATAAGATAAGATATGAATATATCTTGAATGTAAGTGTATTTTGTATTGTGGCACTTGCAGATATTTCTCGTTTTAAACAAAGACAAAGTATACAAAAAAAAAAAAAAAAAAAACCACCCAAATTATATTAAAAATAGATCCTCTAAAAAAAGCTTTAATTTCTCACACAGTTTTGCAAATCAGGTGAAGTTTTGATTTTGAAGAACGATTAGATATTTTTTACTGCAAAAAAGACATTAAGATTATTATTATTTGAAGTGCATTAATAATAGGGAAGCACTATTATAAAAAATGAGGCCAAAATCAACAGATTGATTGATTTATATTGTTTTTTTTTTGTTTTTTTACAGTTCACACTATAGCTGCACAATACAGAGAAAAATATAATAAACTTGCTGGATAATGCAATGCTGATATGAGGCACAATAAACCTAAGAGTAATGTGTCAAATCAATTTCAATTATTTTCAAGTAGATTTAAAGCCAGAAATAATGACACATTCTTAATGCATGTCTCCTGTTCTTCCTGGATATAGAAAACAGCACTCAAACAACAGCTCAAAGTGAACAGCAAATCTTTTACTAAAGTCAAATACTGTTAAAAGAATTAATCAGCATTAAGATAAAATCAAATTAAAATCGAAACAAAAAGTGCCTAATGAACAACAATCACATGTCTAGTAATTCTCTCCAAGCTGTGATTTTTCCACTGGCCTTCATAGCTTTGTAAGATAAGATCCTTCTTTGCTAGATCTGATAATTATTTTGGTATTTAATCATATAAATATTACAGAATAGCATTAAAAAAGTAGCATTAAAAATGTATTTAACTAATAGTCTAATTTTCTACTAGGGCTGCACGATTAATCGCATGCGATATTTAACGCGCATCTTATCAGTAAAGCCGGTCTGTAATCAGCGGTAAATCTCCATCACCTGCGTGCTTTCACATTGAGCAGCATTAACTACACAGAGCCGTTGTTCATGACCTTTAAATCAAAACATACTCATTATTTTATGACATCAATTACTGCATTATTTAATAAGAAAAACAGCCTAAATGTTATTTGTGTAGGCTATTTTATGTTTAATTTAATTAGAAGTAAGCAAACAGCGCCCCATTACAACTGCTACAGATTACAACTCCTTACTGAGCGGGCATTAGGACATGGGGAGGCTTTCACTGCTGCCACTGCATGTGCTATTACTGTTTACTCTTTCACACACCGAACACGTCATTCTGTACGTGCTTTCACAGATTAAATGCAGCGATCCAAAATAGTCAATCTAATCATCATTCAGACAAAACTTTGCTTCAAGAATGAGTCACACTGTTTACGTGATCTAATCACTAGCTCATCCTGAGCACATGTGAGTTAACGTATTCCTCTTATCGGCAAGACATATTGACATCATTTTTCATATCGGGCCGATGCCGATATGTACATTTAAAGCCATTATCGGCCGATTCCGATATCAGTCCGATAATATCGTGCATCCCTATTTTATACTGTTAGTGATACGTGCACTGGTAGGTGTATATACAAAAACACAACACCACCACACCTCCAGAAAAGCAATGCTACGCTGTAAATCATTCCCAGGTTTGCTGGAGAGTTAAAATCACTTCCATGCTCCGCAAAGCTCTAAGAGCCACCACATGAGATCCACACACAACTATGCACTTCATTAACTCTGAGTGACGGCAAACATTTCTCCTGCTGTGAGCAAGAAAAAAAGAAACTGCTCATTTTTTAGCACTCAAGCAATGAAGTATTAAGAACATGATCTGTGTGTGTTAATAATTTGCAAAAACAAATCATGGTGACGTAAATAAAGATGTCCATGTAAATAATGATCAGATGTCCATGCACACACACACACACATCTATTCTTTAGTGCTTTGTGTCCGGAAGGATAATTTACAGAGCCAGTTTTGGCTGGTACAAGCTTGCACAATGTGGAAATCTCCAACCAGTCAACAGGTGGAGAGAGGTGTCATGAAGGTAACTGCCTGTCAGGAGGCCTGATGTGTGTGTGTCAGTGTGAGAAAGGACATGTCTTTGACTAAAAGTCCACAGGTCTACAGACTCTTTCTGAATTTTTCATAGCATCGCATTATTATTCCACAGTTCAACAGCTGGTCTTAAACAAACCTTTGGGAGTTAGCTAAGAAAAGAACTGACTGTTCAGACAAACCACAGGGCTGCAGGTTCCACCCTTAAAGGATATGCAGAGCCGTAGGTGCTACACACCATAGATTATATGTAGAGCAGTTACTGCATTAGCAAGTAGAAAATCCAATTAAATTCAATCCAATACAATATTTTTTTCCTGCAAAATATGGTTTGTCATTAAACAACATCATTATCAAAAACAGACAATTATGCATACTGCAGATGAAATAAAAGTGAAAAGCGAGTATTGGTAAAAGAGTCTTGTAAATTATATTAATCATCAGACCACAGCCTCATTGTAAGCTTATAGTTAAAATGGTGAGACTAGTCATAGAAAACACAATAGGCTGGATAAAGAAGGTCATTCATTGCCATAAATGAACGATGAATAAATATTATTAAAAAAAAAAGAAAAATTTAATTAGGGATGTTAATTTGAACCGTTTTACGGTTTAATTTTACGGTTAACCGCCCGTAAGAATTTTGACCGATTAATACAATCAGTTAAACGGTTTAAAAAGCCATTTAATTATTTATTCTTTCAGTAATTTATCAAAATATTTAAAAAGGTTTGCTGCATGGTTAAAATACGCTATGCGTATAAAAAAAAAAAAGTGTTTTTTAGGGGGAAAAAAACATAAGTCGCGTATAAGTCGCATTTTATGATTTAATTCAGAAATAGGCCTAATGCCGACGCAAAATGTTTAAAACATTATAATAAACACTGTAAACATAGCTAGGCTATTTTAGTTGCACTCACTCCACAACAAATCCTTTCAATTAACAGTATTTACAAAAGAACAAGAATTAAAAATATAAGAAGCTATAGCAATATAAACGACAAGCCAAAACTAATTCATTTAGGCTAAAACGAAACTGAAACCAACGTTGGGTCTCTCATTCCACACAAAATCAAATGTTTCTTTATTCACGATGTATTTGAATGGCAAATTATTATTTATTATGTACTTCACTTGCGTTCCAATATCCACATAAAACTAAATATTTTGCATAACATCATGGCGGTACTGTGATAACACTTAACGGCACAGATTTTACTACATATTTTTTACTACATAATTTTTTACTACATTTTTCCATATGTTTGACTGACTGTATTTTATTATGATAATGAACAGGCTGCATTGTCAAGGTAGCAATGCTTAACTGTGTGCGCGCATGCGGCGCCGGCGCAATCACTTTAATTTTTGTCTCTCATACACTACTGTTCAAAAGTTTAGCAAGATTCTTCTAATTAATTTATTCCTGTGATTTCAGCATCATTATTCCAGTCTTCAGTGTCACAAGATCCTCCAGAAATCATTCTAATATGCTGATTTGCTGCTCAAGAAACACTCTTATTATCACCAATGTTGAAAACAGTTGCACTTCTTAACATTTTTGTAGAAACCGTGATACATTTTGAAAAAAAAAAAAACCCCAGCATTTATCTGAAACTGAATATATATATATTTTTTGTAACAATGTAAAAGTCTTTACTATCACTTCTGATATATTTAATTGCAGAACAATTAATTAATTTCTTTAAAAATATGTATAATAAAATATAATACTGACCCCCAACTTTGGAATGATACTGTATATGGTAATCTGCATATTTTGAATATTTTGTCATAATTACACTCCATCTTTAGCAATTTTGCTAAGTTATTTATTGTAATTGTTACTTCTCATACATGTCATTGATAAATATATTTGTCTATATTTTTAATACACCTAGGATGCCTCGGGGGTGAGTAAAACACAGCCTCATTTTTTATTTTTGGATGAACTAACCCTTTAATTCAAAGGGAAAACTACGTTTCCTACCACATTTACAGATATTTGTTCTTGTTTTAAGCATAAACTCACTAAAACTTGTTTAATTTCTCAGAAAATAAGAGTTTATTTCTTCATTTTGCATCTCTAATTTAAGGATCCTTCGATATTTGTGATGGAAAACAACAAAACTGAAGATGATAATCATTTTTTGCAATGCAAGCAACATCTAATGCCATGAGTTTGACTTTAAGACGTTCTTGAATTTAAGACCTTTTAAGATCTTAATTTGTGGAAAAGTGAAATTAAGACTTTTAAAGACCAGCAGACACTCTGAATAGGGATCGAAAATACAAGAAACACAGTGAAATCACATGATTTAACTAAACTTTCTTGCTAAAGTACTAAAAACAGACCAACCAAACAAACTCCTGTGTGATGATGACATCACATCAATTAGCATATAACTGCCCACATTTACACAAACACCTGGTTCACTATTTAGCAACAAGGCTGGCAGTAATTGGCATATAATTTACATAATCTTAAAGGTACGGTTGCAAAAACAATTTGTTTAATTGTAAGGTAAGAGAGAAGGGTGTAAAAATAGACATGAAAAACGCAATCATGACTGTTGGCTAAAATTATAAGTGGACTTCAGGGGGAAAAATATAAATGAAAAAGTGTAGAATATGGCACATATAAAGAGTTTGATTACCTTAGTCATTAGAGTAGCTGAGGAATCAGCGTGTGTTTTTGGGTTGTGGGTGTTTGCAGTAAGGGAGAGGGCACAGACAGGTCTTTATGTTTAATGTGGCCTGACAGGCGTGCAAATGTCAGTGGAATGTTCTGGAATCATCTTCTTCTATTCATCGCAGATGTCTGTGCTGCCCTATATGACCCTGCGAGGCTGGTGTGTGTGTGTGTGTGTGTGTGTGATCTTTTAGCCCTTGTTTTGTGATGGAGGTGTAAACTGTCGGGGCTGGACTGTGGCCACTGTGTCCAGCGATGACGTTGCCATGGAAACACAGTAAGTAATGAGCCATGTGAAAGCAGTTGAAGATGTTTTTCTGTCTTTTGCTGCAGTTTAGTCACTGCGGTTTCACCCAACAGCTTGGATTTCCCACTAGGCCAATTAATAAAACATAATTCTAAATTTCCTTGAATTTACATTGTTTATTTAAGTTATTGAGCCAGACTATTTTCTATTTGTTCATCTGAAGAGCCATATACTGCAACCTCTAGATAGCAAAACACATACATTATGTGCATGTGCTAATGGTTTTCTTAAAAAAAAAAAAAAAAAAAAGCTTTTTATAGCCAAAGTAATAAAGTGACACAGATTAAACACTTTATTTTACCGTGTCCTTGTTACACCTTACATTTAACAATAAATTATTAGTGCTGTCAAATAAATTAATTGCGATTAATTGCATCCAAAATAAAAGTCTGTGTTTACATAATATGTGTGTGTACTGTGTACTATGTATATTTATATGCATATTTACAAATCATCTATAATTATGAATATAATATTACATATATTTTTTAAATATGCAATTGTGTATATTTTTATATACATATAAATATACACAGTTCACACACATTTATTATGTAAAAACAAACTTTTATTTTGGATGCGATTAATCGTGATTAATCGATTTGACAGCACTATAAATTATGCATAATTAAATGCAACTAACCCTATACCCAACACTTATCATATAGTAAGTACAAGTAGTTAACTATTATTACTCAGTACTTAAATGTATAATTACACTGTAACAAGGACACCGTAAAAATAAAGTGCAACCATTAAAAATACATAATCTACCAGAGTACTTGTAAGTGACAGCAATGATAAAAAATAATGATTGTATATTATATTTAATCTAGATGATGGTAGATTTAAAATAAATAAATAATAATAACCACTTTTTTTCAGATTTATGCTGCCGTTTTGTATGGTTCCTTGAGGTCTAATTGGTTATTGCTGGGACAGCATGCAATGATTTATGACAGCTAGATTAATAAAAGTCCATATTGTTCATTGTTAATTTATGATACCTAATGCAGTCTAAATCTTCATGAAAGCAAAAACTATCTTCATGAACACCATGTGTGCCAAATGGGACATGTCCATCTCTAATCTTAGCAATGATGGCCATCCTGCTTTCTATGTATCAGTTGACCACTACAACTAAGTATCCTAGCCATATGACATCACTGATGAGACTCAAAACTAGGATCTTCACCCGGGATGAGACAGTGAATGTTGTGAGTGATGCACGACATGCAGTACCTTGGGTTCATGACCAGCCTGCGGAAGAAGTACGTCCAGGTGATGTAATCCATGGCGTCTTGTTTTGAGGTGACTGTGCCTGCTGCGATTTCTGCATTCAAGTGGTCGGAGAGCACGCTCAGAAGACTGAAGATACACAGGAAAGACACCACTTCTGTCATTATCACACAGTCACTTAGAGTACTAACACGAAACAGGGAGATTTATTGCTTTGTACACACCTAGACTCCACAGGGAACGGCTCGTACAAGAACTTCTTATAGAAGTCCTTCTTGATGTCGTGCACAAGGATAACAGCCTTGCCCTGGTCATCAAACTGCGGTCGCCCTGCTCGACCCATCATCTGAAGAACATCTGGAATGGAAATGATAGAGATCAATGAAATTGGACAGTCAGCGAAAACACAAACACACACATATAAAAACAGATGTTACCTGTTATGGGGTAATCCACGTAGCGGCGGGTCTTTCCGTCATAGTATTCTGTGCCCTTCACGATCACCAGGTGAGCAGGGAAGTTGACGCCCCACGCTAGTGTGCTGGTTGCAATTAACACCTTAGCGAGAAGTCAAAGGAATATGTAGGGTCAAATCTTATCTCAATGTTATTTCACCTTATTTTGTTTGTAGGGTTGTAGCTGTTTTACAATCTATCTCATATAATTCATATATCTTATCTTATGTAGTACCAGAAAACACCACTGAATTAGGCTACGTTTACACGACAACGATGTAGTCAAAAATGGAAAAGTTTTTCCCTTGCATTTTTAAAAAGTTTTACGTATACAAGACAAAGTTTTCAAAACGATTCGCGTTTACACATATCCGCAAAAACGGCCAAAAACGCTGTATTACGTATGCTAGGCCAGTAGTTGGCGCTGTCACCTTGTTAGCAAACAGTACCTGTAGGGAAGTGAAGATTATATGTTGTATATGATGCGTCTCTGCTGTTGGTTGTAATATTGGTGAAGTAAAGCCACACTTTGCTGAAGAAGCATTAGCAAACTCTTGAGCAGCAACAACAGTACCATGTACGACCGCCATTGCTGTGTACGTTTGTTCACGCTTGCCTTTAAAATCAACATGTACTGCGCATGTCTACATACCTAACACGTACTATGCACGAACATGACGTCACCGTTTTCAAAGATTCCCGTATTGGGTGTATACGTTATAATATATGCGTTTTCAGTCCCCAAAACGCTGTTGTCGTGTAAACGAACAGTCAAAACGCATAAAAAGTTTCCCGTTTTTGGATGAAAACGTTGTCGTGTAAACGGCCCCTCAGTTACTGTAAGAAATCAGACCTATTTCTGTGACGGCACTGAAGATTTTAAAGGAAAGTTTTCATGGCCAAAAACACACTATAGTTCAAAAGTTTGGGGTCAGTAAGATTTCTTTCTTTTCTTAAGGAATTAATACTTTTATTATTTTTTGTATAATAAATTAAAGACTTTTAAGACCTTTTCAGACCCTGAACAAATAAAATACTGTATGATACTATGCAAATTAATACTGTATAACCACACAGAACAAACCCATACGATTTTTTTACGTAATTAAAAAGAAATACAATTCGAAAATTATTGGAATACACAAGACATGTTTTACTTAATATATACCGTACATATAAATTGAAATTTGTTTATGCACTAATATATCAATACATATGAATTAGAGGTTGACAAATGTGGTATTTTGCTAATTTGTAATATATACAATATGTTTAAAGACAGGCAATGAACAGATTAATGTGCCAACTCTAGTAAAATCTATGTGCTGTGTCAGTGTGTTAAATATTGTTTTATTCTTTCCTTCTTGCAACAGGTCAGTCCATCAGAGCCTTCTGAAGTTTAATAATCATATCACAGGCCAGATCATGATTCCTGTTTTTCAAAACTCCTGATTCCTGTTTTTTTTGTGATTCCTGTTTTTCAGAATGACTTCTGAAGGATTATGTGACACTGAAGACTGAAGTAATGATGCTACAATTTCAGCTTTGCCTCACAGGAATAAATTACATTTTAAATATATTCAAATAGAAAACAGTTATTGTAAACCGCAATTCGCAATATTTGATCAAATAAATGCATGAGCATAAGAGACTTCTTCTATCCGTGGAGTGTCTCTGTACTTCAGATGTGCTTCACATGCTAAATCGCTATCATACTGATATGTGAAATATCACATTTGCATTATATCAACATTTTACAGCCAGGCCTCTGAAGACATAAACCCACGAGAACAGCGAGCTGCATTAAGAAGAACATTTCATTTGGATTTGAATAAATCAATTCATCTCTCATCACTCAAAAATGCCAACAAAAGTTCTCCATGAGTATATTTATGATTCTTTTACAATCTCTCAGCTGACAGCTATTTACCCAAAAATAGTTCATATATTCAGTTTCTTTCAAAATGCTTTGGGGATCAGCGTGGAAAAGGTTGATCTGCTGGTGAATCACACATCACCTAACAGCAGGTCTCACCTGGATCTTACAGTTGACAAAGAGCTCTTCCACTGTCTTCCTGTCTCGCTCGTGAAGTCCCGCGTGATGCATCCCGATCCCAAACGCCAGGGTCAGCTTCAGGTTTGACTCTCTTATAGTGCCGATGATATCGTTCATCTAACAAGACACACAGACATTAGAAACCCTGGCAGACGCTATGCACTTTCTTCATAAAAAAAGAAAAGAAAAAATAGAAACAACAGGGATGGACATGTTAGGATGGGCAACAGTGGAAACAAATAGAGGGAAGTGCTGTTAGATGTGAGATGGACAGCTAACGGCAGCCGGCTGTCACTCAAACAGCAGGGTTTCGGGTCGTTACACGCTTCAGAGCAGTGAACCAGCGGGACGCCCCGTATATCACTGGAACACACAGCCAGGACGCTGGAGCTATCAGCACATGGAGCTCACGCGCCTGAACCTCACTGCTGCAGTGCCATGTAAAAATAAAAATGCTGTCATTATTTACTCGCCCTCATGTTGTTTCAAACCTGTATGCAGTTTTTTAAAATTATCTTTTTAATGGAATAAAAAAAGATACATTTTGAAGAATCTTAATCATGCTCTTTTTTTTTACAAAATAGCAGTTCATAGTAAAAAAAAAAGAGAAGTACTATGAAAATAGTATAAATGTGTTACACTATATTCCAAGTTTTCTTAAGACATTGATAGCTTTTTTTTTTTTTTTTTAAATTTTTTAAAAATATCTTTTTGTGAAAAGGGATGGACATGTTAGGATGGGCAACAGTGGAAACAAATAGAGGGAAGTGCTGTTAGATGTGAGATGGACAGCTAACGGCAGCCGGCTGTCACTCAAACAGCAGGGTTTCGGGTCGTTACACGCTTCAGAGCAGTGAACCAGCGGGACGCCCCGTATATCACTGGAACACACAGCCAGGACGCTGGAGCTATCAGCACATGGAGCTCACGCGCCTGAACCTCACTGCTGCAGTGCCATGTAAAAATAAAAATGCTGTCATTATTTACTCGCCCTCATGTTGTTTCAAACCTGTATGCAGTTTTTTAAAATTATCTTTTTAATGGAATAAAAAAAGATACATTTTGAAGAATCTTAATCATGCTCTTTTTTTTTACAAAATAGCAGTTCATAGTAAAAAAAAAAGAGAAGTACTATGAAAATAGTATAAATGTGTTACACTATATTCCAAGTTTTCTTAAGACATTGATAGCTTTTTTTTTTTTTTTTGAAAGTTCTTAAAAATATCTTTTTGTGAAAAGCCCGTAAGAAATGCTCTTTAAAGACATCACTATTTATTTGGTCAAAAATAAAGTAAAAACAGTAATACTGTGAAATATTATTATTATTATTAAAATAGTGTTTTTCTATTTGAAAATATTTTAAAATGTAATTTATTCCTGTGATGCAAAGCAGTCATTACTCCAATCTTCAGCATCACATAATTCTCCGGAAATAATTTTAATATGCTGATTTGGTGCTCTGGAAAAATTTATTATTTTCAATGTTGAAAAACAGCTGTGATGCTTATAATATTAATATTTGTGTACAAACTGTGATACTTTTTTTCCAGGGTTCTTTAATGAATAGAAAGTTCAGCTTTTATTTGAAATAAACATACTTTGTAACATTGATAACATAAATGTCTTTACTGTCACTTGTGATCAACTTAATGTACTGCTGCTAAATAAAAGTAGAAAATTAATAAAAAACAAAAATAAATAATTTACCCCAAGGTTTTGACAGTAGTATATTTGTAACTTGTAAAGCGACCTTGAGTTTGTAAAAAGTAATGAATAATAATAATGAGGGCAAATAAATGATGAGAGAATTTTAATCGGATGAACTCTTTTAAACCAGACTTGAATTCTATCTCTACTATATAGAAGTATAAACGGCAGCCTTCCCTATTCTCTGAATGTTACATGTGTAATGTCTTTTATTGGGTCTTTAACAGGGTAGGCTCATAAAAGACAGGCATTAACACGCTTTATGGGGCTGCATGCCTTTACACGCAGTCTGTGTAATAGAAAGATAGGCCACTAACATCAGTATCTGCCTCATAAATGCCTGCTGCGCAACAATTCAAACAGTCAAAGCAGTTTTACACAAATCCGCATTCATAAAAGGAACAGCTCACACAAGAAAATACCATTTTTGGGTGAACTATCCCTTTAAGAATCAGACTGAGAGATTCGGTCATACATAGTTGCATACAGAATAGGGATGGGCATTTCAAGCAAAAATAACATCCGATGGTCGCTAAGAATTATTAGATTATTATTAGAAAATCGCAACCCTCCCCCGCACGCACGCACACATGAATAGGCTACCAACCCGATTTGTGGAGTAGATGTGAATCATATGTATGCGAAAACTGCATTTCATATGCACGCCAATAAATTTCGTATCATATGCACACGAAAACTGCGCATCATATGCACGCCAAACACGTGCGTAGCATATACACGCCAAAGCCCATTTTTGCGTATCAATACCACGCGTTTTTATTTGGCGTACTATTTATATGCATTTTCATGAGACGCAGGCGCAGAAAAAATACGCAACGCATGCACATTGTGCAAACGGAGTTGGCGTGTTCTCTGCGGCAGGACTAATTGTGAACAGATTGCGCTCCTGTCTTCAACGGATTTTGTTAACGGATTTAGAGCGTTCACACTGCAAGCGGTTGCTGTCCGGCAGTGCGTTCCAGCAGCAGTGCAGCGATCGTTTCCGCACCGAGTCTATTTTTGCTGTGCTGCACGAGACAATGTGCTCTTTTGTTGTCTTTGACGGCTTTTAGGTGTGTTATTTGCAGCTCCACCCTCTAGTTACATGAACGCGTCACCACCGAAGACATGGGGAATTTTTATTTTTTGACAATCGCACAACCTATTCGATATTCTATAATTAAATCAACTAATCGAATATTTGAAAATTGTGACCCATACCAAATACAGAATCCACTATAGAATCAATTCTACATAAACTGATTCTTTAATTCTGAGGTATTGGGAATCGAGAGTCAATTCCAAAGGTTGAAATTGATTCCACTCCAGGAACTCTCTTCTAATAGAGAAACTATTAAAATCGGTAAAGCTCTGAGAGACATTCTTAAAAGTTTAACTTCAGTACAGTGGAATGCAAAACCATGTTCTGTGTGAAGCAGCCTTAACCTTGTTAGTTTGGGAAACTAATAACATATATACATATTACACAATATAATATTTATGCTCTTTATCATGTTATCATAAAACACTGTCTACATTTCTAGCAATAGCGCTGTAGTAACTTGACTGTTATTTGCATAGTTATGGTTACATGTTTATTGTCTTGCTTAATTTCTTTTCTAAATCTGACTGTTTATTATTGTATTTGACACTACCAAATTAATTTAAATGTGTTATTTATTTATACAAAATGTAGTAAAAACATGGAATTTTTAATTTAGAAACAATGATCTTTTTTTATTTCCAGTATTTGTAGAGACACAATTGAAAAAAAAAATTTTTTTTGGAATAAGAACTGAAAACATAAATCATAATTTCCAAAACCCAGATTCCAAATAATTTCCAAAAGTTTTGGAATTGAACAGCCCTGATAAGCAATGTGCACTGCTGCACAGCCAGAACAATTATTAAAGAATAATTTGTGTGTGTGTGTGTGTGTGTGTGTGTGTGTATGTATATATACATATATATATGTATATATACATACACACACACACACACACACACACACACAAATTATTCTTTAATAATTGTTCTGGCTGTGCAGCAGTGCACATTGCTTATCAGGGCTGTTCAATTCCAAAACTTTTGGCTGCACGACAGATTAGAAGGCAGTTTGCTGACACAAACGTGTGTATGTGTTCAAGCAAACACATTAAAGATGTATTTCTGCTCTCTGTACCGTTTGAATGTGTGTATCATGCGTATACTATTAAAGAAATTATCACCTCCGTAAGGCTGCAATTTGTATGTAATTACTTTGTGATTGGGATGAGAAAACCATTCCTTTTTTTCTGACTAGCTCTCTAATCGAGCGCTTTGAAAATATTAGCACACATCTGTGGTGGCGAGCCGAAAAAGCTGTTTGTTCACATCTTGAAATAATCTGAAGGCATGCAGTGGAACGGAAAGAGGAATTTAATGAGATATGACACAGGCTTTTGCACTAGAATCTGCTCTGAGCCGTACTGTAATCACCGATAAAGAGATACTGAGCTTCTTGAGATTGTGGAATTGGGAAAGAATGAGTATAAGACAGAAGAGAGAGAAAGTAACAGTAGCAACGCCAAGGAACTGAGGCAGTAAAAGTGTAAGTCCTATTCACACGCTCAGTGATGCGAGTCTGTTACAAATTGCAAACGAGATCTTTTACACCAAAGCTATTCAAAACTTCATCTATCAGAAATGTCTGCATGCCTGAACAGAAACGAAAGGCATTCAATACAGTTTTCTCAGAACTATCCATTTTAAATTACATTTTTATTTAAAACTGTGGCAGTAATTTAATGCTTCACAACCACAATGTGTTCCTATCATTTTAGACTTAAGGTAACACGTTACAATAAGGTTGTACATGTTAACATTAGCTATACTAAATAAATATATTAGCTAATGCATTATAAACACACATGAATTAACAATGAATAATAGTCTATTTATTATTTTAAATGAACCTAGATTATTAAATGCACTGTAAAAAATGAGTGTAATTTTAACTGTAAAATATTGTACAAATAAAAACAACAAAAAAACTGTTTATAGGTTAACAGTAAGTTTCCTTACTATATACAGGGAAAAGCTGTAAAAGATCTAACCAGACATTTCATGTAATTTTACAGTAAAATGCTGTTAACTGTACAATTTTTAGAAGTAAAAAAAGAACAAACGTATAATTTACAGTACAAAAACTGTAAACTGATATTCCCAGAATTCCCAGCGTGACACTCCACATTTGAAAGTATTTTGTTTAAATAATCATGCTTTTTAATAGTTTTGTCATGTTTTTTATCAGTTATGTAGATGTGGGTTTATGTTTCATCTTCTGTTGTTTAATGAATGTTTATTGCATTATTTAAGTGTCATGTGTGTGCTATCATGCTGGTGTTTAGTGTTTGCGTGAATGACTCTGTGTGCCTTCTATATATTAGTATATACTTCAGCTTGTGGAAAAGCTACTTGTGATGAACTGATTCTTCACATTGCTGTCTCTTTTACCAGCTGCATTATTATGGTGGTTGTCAATTTATGTTAAAGATACAAAACCGATTTTAGTATTGTTGAATTTACTAGTTTACACTCAAATTTTCTTGTTTGTAAATTAGTTTTATCTCACCTAGCTTTGACTCTTTCCGTCTCTTTCAGACCAATAGAGCAATATGCTGGGTTTGCTATATATATATATATAATTTTTTTATTTTGCAAGCTCTATTCTAGTGTACAACAAAAGCAATGCAAAAAAGCAGAACTAGAAAGCTAACACCCTTTTTGCTACAATACACAACGCCTGAGCACCTTACTCTCGTCTAGATTTCTCGATTGTGTTACTTGTTTGAAAAAGTAACTCAGATCTTTTGATGTAAATTTAAAAAGTAATGTATTTACACATTAGTTAATACATATAACAACACTTTTGAGGATGACTTCTGACCTCTCTCTCATCCTGGTGGAGCCACTGTTTGGGGTCGTCTTCTGTAGCCAGAAACGCAATGAGGTCCAGAGCTGTGAGCCGTGTCTGCCGGCGCGACGACACAAATATGAGGACCGGTTTGGCAGGAGAATGAGTGCGGATGGCTGCAGGACAGTGGAAATACAGAGTGTAATCCAAATATGAATTTAACAATCAAAATGCATGAACGATCTAAATAAAAAATAACAATACAAAAGACAAAATACAAAAGAAATAAAACTGCAAGTCGATACATTAGCATTTTTACTAAGAATAATTTGTAATTTGGCTGAACCTGGAGGCCATATCATGGTAACATCCCTGGGGCATCTATTACATATGAATACAATTTCAGCTCCCATCTACTGTACTTGAATGGGAAGGCCTAAAACCTTCATAACTGTTGGCCAAGAGTGTGTTCTAAATGCAAATTTCAAATCAACAATAACATTTGACAATGATGATAATTGAACAATGAACAAATCAAGAAAAAAGAAAAATGTTCATGCTGTTCCTGCTGAAGCTTATGAGCATGGATCCTTTAAACATTTCTAAGGTTTTCAGAAACAGAAATGATCATAGTTGGGTAAACTTTTATAATGGTGAACGGAAAGTCGTAAACTAGAACAAACATAATTTAGCGTTTTCATTTGATCCAACAGCAAAAGATAAAATCCATTATAGTACATCTAAGAAAGAGGAAACCAATATCAAGAGCTTGATTATAGGAGTCAGAGGAGAGATATTAAATCAATAAAAAAAAAAGAAAATATAAAAGACTCTTACAATGCTTTTATGCTATTTTTTGATGTTAATACTGTGGTAAAATGTGGAAATGCATCATCACAGTCTGCAAAAAGTCACTTTTCCACATTTTAACACAGTATTAACATAAAAAAATTGCATAAAAACATTAAGAGTCCTTTATATTTTCATTAAAAAAAATACCATTTGTAAGACTAAACTTTGTGTCATGTAAAAATGGACAGGATTTGCATTTTTACATGATCATTTCCTTCAATGTGTGTGCATGTTACTGTAGTATTGTACCTTGGAAGACTGGTTTGTTCATGCTGGCCATACGAGGGCAATAATGCTGCCCCGGAAAGCCCTGGATGTGAACCTCCAGCGGCACTGGGCGAACAGAGGGCCGGAAATTAAACAGTCCCACCTGAAAGAGACACAGACAGAAATGAATAAGGACAGGGCCTCAAAACAGAGCAAGAAAAACAGGGTCAGAAAGTGAGAAGAAGCAAAGAAAGACAGTAATAAAGCGAGAGATGGAGTGTCCAGCTGGCTGTGTGCCTGACAGAGTGGCCCATCTGGGGGTAATTACAGCCTGTCATTGTCCCCTGTCCCACAACTGCGGTCTCACACAAGTGGCCCGGGCCTGGGTGCGTGTGCGCACATATTTAAAGGGCTGGATAATGGATTGGGCAGCTAGAGACGCGCCTCAGTCCAAACAGCACACGTCAGATTTATGGAGACCCCCAGCCCTTCCTTCCCCGTCTGTCTAGCAGGGTGACATTTCAGCAATAGTAAAACAACGTTTACATTACCACTGCTGTCTGTCCTGATGTGGCCACAGCGCCAACATGCTGCTACACGCTGGGAGAGGGGTGCTGCTTATTTATAGACCCTTGCGTGCTCATATGTGCACACGTATGCATTTATACGCAAAACGACTGACATGAATGTTCTGTAATGGAAACATGACAGCACCGTTAGTACAGTGTTACAGATAATATCGTTATTCTACTCTTTTGACTTCATCCCTAATCATTATGGGTGCAAGTGAAGCATGATTCCACCGAAACAAGACCAATCAATTACATCCAACCTGATTAGCCAAGATTTCAATTTTTTTTTGCTTCATTTGAATCGCCATGAATCATATGTAAATCACATCAAACTCGAGAAGAGGTAGGAGCACTGATCCAGAAAACATTAATTTGCCTAAACATAACAGTCTATGGATTGACTCCAAAAGCGATTTGAGTATCACAAGTCTTTCGTCAAATGTAATAGATACTGATGTGGCGTTAAAAGGGTATATGTACGTGAAAGTTGAGATGAGCTAATGGATGCAGGTTGTGTATTGCGGTGAATTTCGAACCTGTCCGATGCCCAGCCAGTCGGCTAGATCCCGTGCATTAGCCAGCGCGGTAGAGAGTCCCACTACTCGCACTTGTTTTGAGGTGTGGGATGAGATAAAGTTGGTTCTGGACACAATGACCTCTAGAACCGGCCCTCTGTCCTCACCTGTGAAGTCAAACAAAAGGTAAAAATGGTCACCTTTATTTATATAACGCTTTGTACAATAAAGATTGTTTTAAGGCAGCTTTACAGTAATAAACAATGAAGTAACAGAATAAGTGATGCAAACTTCATCAAATATGAAAAAAAAACAGTCATAATTCAGCTTCAGTGTTGAATCAGTTCAGTTCTCAATTACTGTGTAAAGTTCATCAATTATAAAACAAGTTCAATTCAGCGGTAAGCAGCTCTACTGAAGATAGTAGTGTCATTATTCAGCTTCAGTCAGTTCAATGTTGATTCAACTCAGTTCAATAACAGTGTTGCAAAATTCAACAATTATAAACACATTTGATTCAGCTATAATCTGCTCTGCGGAAGACAACAGCGTCAGACAAAAATATGACAATATAATTTTTCATAATATTAGTAGTAATTAATGCTTACAGGCACAGTCAAAAAGCTTTAAGAACCACGTATATTTTGAGCTGATGGCTACATAGTGCTTTAAAGCTGCATTATGGAAGATAAGAACTCAGTGTTCAAATTTGTCTTTTTAACTTATCCTGATTTACTACAATAAAGGCCCGTTCACACCAATAACTTCAAAGGGATAATTCACCCAGAAGCTCAATCGTGCTTGCTTGACGCTAAAGATGAAGTTTGTTCTCATGGTCCACACAAGCATGCTCCAGCTTCCACAAGAACCAACGAGGCTTGTTTTGTGCGTTGAATAAGTACTGTTGAGCTTCCGTTTATCAAATATAACGTACTCTATGTATGTGTTGATTAATATTTATATATGAATAAAAGCCTAAACTGAATCATTTTTAAACAATTGTGGCTCTTCAGAAGACGAGGATTACACATGATTCATAAGGATTACATTTGTCATGTCATTTTATACTTTTTATACCTTTCGATGCAAGTTTCAGTTGTGAACATTCAATGGAGGGACAAAAGTGATGAAAATATCTTCATTTGTGTTCTGAATATGAACAACAGACTTATTTATGTGGAACAAGATGAGAGTGAGTTTCAGTTTTGGTTGAACCATTCCTTTTAATTGCTTAGATAACATTTTTCTTCTGAAATACACTTTGTTGGATTTTTTTTTTAACTGCCTAGATTCATTTGAAATGGTGATCAATGTAATTTTACATTTCACAAACGCTGATAAAAAGGCCATTCAGTTCAAGTTAAGTTGTGCAACTTTAAAACAATATTTATGCTTTTTTTTTAATAAAAGAGTGCATTGTCATTTCAGCTTTTGTTTGAAACTGGAGAAACATAAATTTCACTGCAAGTGTTATCAATTACCACAATTTTTTGAATTGTGAGCTTAGCTTTATTTTACATGAATATACACATTTCTGTAGGTCTTGACAAAATAATAAAACTAATGCAGGCCTGTGGAGAACAGTACTCCTTGTTTGATGAATTGTATGTAAAATAATATTTCATCCCTGAAAAATAAGAGTCTTGAAGGAGGCTAATGGATGAAGGGAGACTCTTAAATCAGTCTACTAAATCAAGAACTTCCCATACACGTGTGTATATGCATGCAGACACTCCTGAGTAAAGGGGCATTATCACTGTTATCCAACTACACACGGTTCAGGACTTGTGTTTTCAAGAAGGATTGAAGCTGTCCAATTCATTTATGTCAAGGTCCTTGACATTAATACGTTGCTAGCAGCTATACTACATAGGCAAACATATGTGGACACCTGAACTCCAGACTCATGGGCTTGTTGAAGATTTAATTTCAAAACCATGGGCATTAACAACAGTGGGTTTGTTTGACCCTTTGATGCAGTATAATGGCTTCCACTCCTCTGGGAAAGCTTTCCACGTGATGTTGGAACATGCCTGCTGGAATTTGCTCCAATTCCATTCATTTCAATAGGAGTCTGTGCGATTGGGAGTTTCTATTGAGAACATCTATTGTATAATGTGCTAAATAAATATAAGTGAAATGACTGGAGTGCCAAATTGTGACGCTGGTGCAAGCATATCCACATCGCTATGATAAAATGCTTTCTTAACTGCTGTTTTCTCACCACTGTCATTCTATTGGTGTTCGTTTTATTATTTAGAGGAAAACGAAATAATGTTTCCATAAGGATGGCAGCACATATGTGACCCTGGACCACACAACCAGTCATAAGGGTCAATCTTCCGATTGAGATTTATACATCATCTGAATAAATAAGCTTTCCATTGATGTATGGTTTGTTAGGATAGGACAGTATTTGGCCGAGATACAACTATTTGAAAATCTGGAATCTGAGGGCGCAAAAAAAAAAAAAAAACGAAATATTGAGAAAATCACCTTTAAAGTTGTCCAAATGAAGTTCTTAGCAATGCATATTACTAATCAAAAATTAAGTTTTAATATATTTACAGTAGGAAATGTACAACATATCTTCATGGAACATTATCTTTACTTAATATCCTAATGATTTTTGGCATAAAAGAAAAATTCATATTTTTTGGCCCATACAATGTATTTTTGGCTATTGCTACAAATATACCCCAGCGACTTAAGACTGGTTTTGTGCTCCAGGGTCACATATTTAATCTAAGCACCACTCCCAGCAGCGTAGGTGACTAGGATATTCACTGACAGTACACTGCTGTTCAGGTACTTTGAACTTCGTTTTACCCCAAGCGAAGAACAAAAAAGAACTTTGCCAGAGCCTCTACCTAGAAGATGGATCTCGTCTATGATGAGAATAGCCACGTTCTGCACATAGCTGCGGTTCTGCCAGCTGCGGCTGACTCCATCCCATTTCTCTGGAGTGGTGACGATCAGGTCAGCCTGTGCGATAGCTCGCATGTCTGGAGTAACGTCACCTGTTAACTCAACCACCCTAGAGAGAGAGAGTGTATGATAATGAGCAAACAAAGGTCAGGGTATAATAACAGATACATATTTGCCCGGAGAATCTATAAACACTCTCACTTTCTCCCAAGTTTCTCTTCTATTCTGATCTTCCAGTCCGCAATCCTCTCTCGGACCAGAGCTTTGAGAGGAGCAATGTAGACCACCTGCTCACACAGATACATGCCGGTTAAACCATCTCATAAGAACTAAAACTAAACCCCAACAGATGGCAGAGGTTCAGACCTTGGAGGTGGGGCACTTGTTGAAGACCCTGAAGATGGCCATCTCTGCAGCGATGGTTTTGCCGGAGCCGGTGGGGGCCCCCAGCAGGACGTTGGTGTCCGTGTGGTAGAGTGTATGGAAGATCTGCGTCTGAATGGGATTAAAGTGCGTGAACTTGTATAGACTCTCATACTCCCGGTTTCCTAATGCAGTCACAGGCAGCGGCTGAAGATCCAAGAGCTCTGGAATGAAGCATATGAGAATGGTAATCTACAAAAGAACATTTGCATGGCTTCTCCATTATAAAGTCTGAAGCCTGAAGTTTATTTCACATGCGGTCACTCAAACATGGTTTTGGGACCACTGTGGTTGCCTACACAAGGAAAAAAGGTGACATCTACCTGTTGCTCGCATGCATTCTAATGCTCTCACTGTGGTGAGGTGATGATGTAATTAGTGGCATTTGCAAAGCAAGCAACACTATTACTCACACTCATAAAAAATAAAGAGGTTTTCACAGCGATGCCATGGAGGAACCATTTTTGGTTTTTAAAGACGTTAAAGATTCTTCATGGAACCACAGATGGCAATAAAAAAAAAATTTCATTTTTAAAAGTGTATCTTGATTTTTTAAAAGCATAAACTTCAGCACATAACAGACAACTGAAATCTCAAATTGTGCCACTTATTGAGGGGCACTACCTGGGTGTGCAACTTTCTTCTGGCGCACTGTGAAAAAATCTCATAGACTAAAGTCTGGTGCACACTGTATGATTTTGCCAACTCAAAAAACAAACAAAAAAAACAATTCTGGGATAGTAAAGGAGTTCTACTGTTGTAAAAATCGTGAGCCTTTGATAGTTCACCACTGGTGAATGAATGGTCTTTATGGTGAATCTTAGACTGTAGCATTTTCGTTACTTGAAATAAAACAACTGTTAACCGAAATATATAGAAAATACAAGAAAATACAAAATAAAAATCATAATTTTCATTTAACTTGATGTACTATAAAGCCATATAAAATATTTAAAAGAAAACTAAGTAAAAACTAATACAAATAACAAAAACATACAACAAACTACTAAAACTTAATTGACTATTTTACAACACTAAAATTAACAATTTTACAATATTAATAAAAATTAGTATCTCAACTAAAATAACCCTATTTCATAAGAATTTCAAGTAATTCCTCCCAAATAACAAAGTAATTGAAGGACAAAGTTGTTCACAGCTTGAAATATGTGTGCACCTGTGTGTGGCGGGTGTCTTTCAGGCAGGATAAGATGCTGGAAGTTGATGATGCACACAGCTTCAGAGCCCAGCCAGCGGTCAGACACGGCTCGGATGTAATACTGAGAAGGCATGGGCTCAAAGATGGGTATAGTGAAGACCACCTGCTGGGACTCTCCACTCACAACCTGACAGTGCCAGAGAGAATATATGATTAGAAACGCACACCGCAATGCATTTCACATTTCCGGCTCACTGTGTGACATTGTGTGATGTGCCGTCTTCATTCAAGAGCCACATGTACCGTCATTAATCTAATCTCCATGCTTTACAAAATGAAATTATACTTGCATTTTAATTTAGCATTATTTGTATGCTTATTATAGTATTTATTAATATATATATTGATTAGCTAATTTGTATATTTTCGTTTTTCATTTTAATTTTCGTTTTAGACATTTTGCTATATGCTTTTGTCATTTTTTTATTTAGCTGTAATTTATTTTATCGCATATATATATATATATATAGTTTATTTGCAAAAACCGATAAACACCACTTTAAAAAAAATGAGCTGATTGCCGTGCATTATTCTCCACATATACCGCGATCTGAACCCTAAACATGTTTTGTCAAAAAAGCTGGTTTTGTCCACTTTCAAGGCATCGCGAGTTCACGTTTTACTGCAGAAGCCGATAAGCGCCCTTGTTGTTTTTGAACAGAAGCCGATAAGTCCATTTTAGCGAATCAGCGCGCTGTATTCAGGTCAGGTGACAAGGCTACTTTCACTTTGAAAAGACGTGTTAGCTGAGAGGAGTTTCGTCAAAGCTAAATAAAAGTGATCGAGGATGGATCATTTCGATGAACTTGATGAACCTGTGATATCTTCTTCAGGGCGCAAAAGGAAAATAAAAGCTGAAACGTTTTCACGGAACCTTGCAAAAGCAGCGCGTTACAATGGTGAGGGAAAAGCTCCGTGTATTTCGTGTAATCACATCCATACAGTTTATGATCACAACAACAACATTTGTCAGGCATCTACATTGTCATCTGAGGAAATTACAAAGATTAAACGAGCGTTTTTTTAAACTCTAAAACATGAAATGTGGAGTTATATTCTTTTGCCAAAAAACGACTGCTGGAGTTATCTGCTTTTGCTATAAAACAAACTTTTAATATGTAAAAAAAACATATTTTTAATGAACTTTAATTTTGTAAATTACCTGTATTTGTTTAAGTTATTATTACTGCAGTTTGATTGATATTACTTTGGAATGCGCAATAAAAACAACGTGATATCTGAAAAAAAAAAAAAATAAATTATCGGTTATCGGCTTTTGCAAATGAACTCTTCATATATTAATTTTACTACTTATACTTTTTTTTAGTTAGTTGCCAAAGCAACACTTCCAGTTTCGTTCTTCATGCTGCGATCTGGTATTAGGGTTTATACATTTGGGTTTGCTCGTGTCAGAAGATGTGCATGTATATTTACCTGTTTCTTATGCAGAAGAAAGTACTCAGAGTGGTAGATGTGGTCGTTGATCGGATCCTCCACCCATAACCACCAGGGCTCTCCCACTGAGCCATGGACCTGAGCAGGACCAGATGTTGTGTCATAAAAGTGGTACAATGAGAATACAAAAAACAACATGCATTTTTTCAAACAGATGTCCATTTATAAGTTAAAAACCTTCATGAAAGTAAAAACTACTGTTTCCATGGAAACCACATGACCAAACTTACATTACGGACACCAAACCACACATAAATGATACATTTAACATTCGTATTGCATGAAAAACAGCAAAACTTTATAAAAGTCTGATACAAAATTAAAAATGGTGTTACAGGATCTTGACATTCAGAAATCTTAATGAGAGCACACAAACTCTTGCTAATCACATTCACTGCTTTATAGAGAGTAGGGCTGCACGATTAATCGCATGCGATATTTAACGCGCATCTTATCAGTAAAGCCGG